TTTTTTTTTTAATTTATTCATTTGAAAGTCAGAGTTACACACAGAGAGGGAGAGACAGAGACAGAGAGGTCTTCCATCCGCTGGCCCACTCCCCCAATGGCTGCAATGGCCAGAGCTGGGCCAGGCTGAAGCCAGAAGCCAGGAGCTTCATCTGGGTCTCCCATGGGGGTGCAGGGGCCCAAACCCTTGAGCTATCTTTCCTAGGCCATTAGCAGGGAGCTGGATTGGAGGTGGAGCAGCCAGGACACAAGCCAGTGCCCATGTGGGATGCAGCTTCTCAGGTGGTGGCTTTATCACAGCGCCGGCCTCTGACATACACGTGATCTGATTGTGCCATTTGAATCTCGTGCTGAGGAAGACGGCACACTGAGTCATGAATTTACTGGACAAATGCTTACTGAGAACCTGCTCTGTGTCTTGTAGTTGCTAGTGCTACAGTGATTGTACGACGCAATCTGCAGGGGGATGTTGGGGTTTGTAGCACTCAGTGACCAGGCAGTGGCTGACATTCCCGACACAGGGTTCCCCTTCTGGCTGTGGGAGCCGGTTGCGGATACTCTGCTGCTTGGATGATTTATCCGGGGGCTCACTGGGTATGGGGAGCGGAGTAGAAGCCATGGCACGTTTGCCTCAGCTGCTGGAGGAGAGGACATGGGAGAAAGGAGATGAAGGGGGGACAGGTGGCATTAAAGGGCGTCGTTACATCTGGCATGGCCGCCTCCTGAAAACTAGGCTCCCTCTGGAGAAGAAATTAAGGCCTTGAGGGGGACGGATGCTTGACCGTGCTGACAGTCCCTGACCCTCAGGGGCCCAATCAATGCAGGTGCCAAGTGCTCCAGGCCACTGCGGTCCCTTGGTTGGCACGTGGATACAGAGCACCTGCCGTGCACCCTGCTCCACCATCTCAGCTACAGGGAGAGAGCAGAGCATAGATTAAAACCCTGCTGTCAGCAGAGGGGACCGTTGAAACGGAAGCAAATCAGTACAAGAGCGCAGTCAGTGCCCGCCACGTTACCACTGCTCACCGTCGGCGTGGCCGGCTCAGCGCACAGAACAAGGGCCTAGGGCTGGCCTAAGAACTGCTCATGCACCGTCTCTTGTCGTCCTCACGGGGACCCAGGTTTCACAGGTGAAGAACCTGCCCTGCAGAGTCCCAGGTGCCTGTACGGTCTCAGGTCTCGGCATCCGAGTCCAATACTCTCCCCTTGCCAGGCCCTGCTGTGGCTGTCTGAAGGCCAAGGTCTCCCTCTGGTGGTCACATGACACCAGGGCTGCGGCTGTGCTGGCTGGGAGGGGTCTGCCCCTGGGGGGCGGTTTAGAGTAGGGGAAGGAGGCAGCACTGGACTGACAGGTGGTCCTGGTTCCACCATCTGGCTCAGAGGCAGGCAGAGCAATAGGACTTCTGGCTCCTCCCATTTATTCACGGACTGTGGCAAGAGCAAGTCAACTTCATCCCCTGCAAAATTGGAGTGATTAAGCCTTGCCTGTTGCCATGGTGACTACACAGGACGAAGAAAATATGTTCAGCACAGTGCCTGCTACACAGACCTACTGACAGCCAAAAATAATGATGGAGGTTAAGTTTCCTACTTTGTAAAATGGGGGTAGAGATGTCTCAACTATGCCAACCTCAGAGAATAGTCATTTGCTCATTTCATAAGCGCCTACTGTATACCAGCATTCACGATATTTTAGGCTCCCTCACCTTGTGGTCTACTCTTTTGTGGGTAGTGGTTGAGGGTACACTCCAGCAACTGCACCCAGAAGGTTCCCAGGCTATTGGGGCCAGGGAGGGTGGGGTTAGCGGGTTCTGGGCTCTGCGCAGCGGGTGGGCAGCGCCACCTAGTGTCCATGTAAGTTCTCATTTTCTTGCTGGAAAGATCAGTGTTTTTTTGTCTTCCTGGGCTCTCAAGACTTAGAAATCAGGTTCTCTCCCAGGGCTCACCGGCTGTGCCAGAGCCGGCAGCACTTACCAGTCCCCAGGAGAGTGGAAGGCAGGCTCCATGTTGACTAAGATAGTCTAGCCTTAGCTTCTGTCCTCTGAGGAATAAGAAGTCATTAAATAAATCCTTGCACACACAGAGTGCAGGTGAGACTGGGGGAGGGAGGAGGCGTGCGGAGGGTTAGGAGCTGGGTCTTCCTAAGTGAGATGATAAAGAAAGCCTTGCAACCCAAGAATGAACTGGGTCAGTCCAGGGACCTGCTGCCTGGAGCAGGAGCCTGGTGGTGAGACCAGAAGGGCAGACTGGACCTCAGATGCCAGACTGGTGTGATGTGGGGGAGCAAGGGCCCTGCAGGCAGTCGTGCATCCAAACCCCAGCTGCAGCATGGGCTGCATGAGGGGCCGGCACCTGCTGTGCAGTGTGGTGACTGTGGGCCACTGTGGGTGAGGAGAGGCCAGCACAGAGTCAGTGAGTGGCCAGCATGAAAGGGGGACACTGGTGACTTGACTGACTGGGGATGGATGGTGCAGAGGTCACCCCAAGAAGAGGCGATCGGGGGCTCAGAGTCCATGTCCCTCCCAGGGCCCTGGCGCAGCCCTGGCACCACATGGGGCCCAGGCTGTAGCACCAACCCCATCCACCAACCCCATCCGAGACAAAGGCTCAGGACTGGCCCGCCTGCCAGGGCAAACTCGGGGTTTATTTCCCCATGGGTAGTACCTCCCTGGCCCACCGCATTCACTCATGTCCTTTGTCCACAACTGACTGGCTGCTGCAGTGGGCACTCAGCTAGGTGCTGGGGGTACTGTAGGGATCACACAGCTCTGGACCCCATTCGAGTTTTCTCGTTCCATCCAGGGCTGCAGGATCCAGCTCCCTGAGCAGGTGCAGTGAGGCGTGCGTCCCCCCGGCCCACCCCACCCCTCTCTTCCTGCCTTCAGATTCCTCTGGGCCATGGTCCGAAATACCCGAGACCTGGGTAGCAGAGTCAGTGACTGTGGGGCCACTCTTTTTTTCTTAAATTTATGTATTATTTTATTTGAAATGCACAGTGACACAAGAGGGGTTTCCCATTCATTGGTTCATTCACCAAATGGCCACAACTGCCTGGGCTGGGTCAAGCCGAGGCCAGGAGCCTGGAACTCCATCCAGGTCTCCCACATGGATGCAGGGGCTCAAATACCTGAGCCATCCTCCACTGCTTCCCAGGTGCATCAGCAGGAAGCTGGATTGGAAGTGGAGCGGCTGGGACGTGAAACTGCATTCTGCTACAGTTTCCCAAGCACCTGCTGCGCCACAGTGCCAGCTACATAGGCACCAACCCCTGAGCCCGAGGCCACATCGTAGCCAATGGGGGCAGCAGTCCAGGACGGGGCAGCCACGAGTGGTGCTGGAAGGAGGGCAAGACCAGGTGGCCAGGTCTCCAGGGTCCAGGCAAGGTGACTTTGGACAAGCAGACTCAGTCCCAAGCACCGCTCAAAGCCTCTGACCTCTTGCTCCCAAAGGCAGCTGCCCTCTCCTCTCGGCACAGGGAGAGGCCTCAGAAAATGGCCAGAACCATGAGGCCACCAGCCAGACATACAGCTTGACATGGCCTTGTGCCTAGAAGTCAAAATGGAGCAGGTGGCAAGCAGTTGCCATGGCAACCCTGCAGGGACGCCACACCTGGTCTCTCTCACCTGGTTGTGTGTGCACACACGGTTCCATCTGACCATCCGGTGCCTCAGTCTCCCCACCAACAACGTGCGTTTACAAGCACCACCACCTACAGTTGTGAGGATCGATATCTAGACAAGTTCCTGCAGCAAAGGATACAGTATGATGTTTGCCATGGCTGCATTGCTCTATTTTAATCATCTCTACTACAGTTTCTCCACCTGGAACTCCACCTGGGTACAGGGGCCCAAGCACTTGGGTCATCTCTTGTGCTTTCCCAGGCACATTTAGTAGGAAGCTGGATATGAAGTGGAGCAGCCGGGACTCAAACCAGCGCCCAAATGGGATGCTGGTGTCCTAAGCAGCAGATTAATTCATTATGAGCTTAACCCATTATGCCATGCCTGCCTCTCCCCTGCCCTTTCTTAGGCATCAGACAATGAGGCTTATATAGTCTGCACACTGAGCATCCAACTCTTTTTTAAAAGATTTATTTTATTTGAGAGGCAGAGGCAGTTGAGAGAGCGAGTGGGAGAGGGAGAGAGAGGGAGAGGAAGGGAGGGAGAGGGAAGGAGGGAGGGAGAGGGAGGGAGGGAGGGAGGAAGAGAGATATCTTCTACCTGCTGGTTCACTCTTCAGATGGCTGCAACGACTAGAGCTGTGCCACTCCGAGGCCAGGAGCCAGGAGCTTCTTCTGGGTCTCCCACATGAGTGCAGGAGCCCAAAGACTTGGGCCATCTTCTATTGCTTTCCCAGGCCATAGCAGAGAGCTGGATTAGAAGTGGAGCAGCCGGGACTTGAACCAGCACTCATGTGGATGCCAGCACTGCAAGCAGCCACTTTACCCACTACGCCACAGCGCCGGCCCTGAGCATCCAACTCTTAATGGGAGGGTTCTGGGGGCACTTCTGATCCTGAGGGCGGTTCTTCAGGTTTTGCTTCTGTTGCCCTGGCTGCTAAGAACCTCACAGAAAATCCAGAACCCAAGAACTGATCCGCGCACATGCTGCCATCTCCAGCAGGGGGCGCCCAGCACCAAGCTTTGCTTGGTACCAGTCCCTGGCAGAATCAGCTGCATAGGATGGGAGCTGGGAGGAGCTGTTCCCGCTGTGCTGGTGGCGGGGGTGGGGGTGGGCGGGCCGGTGTGGGCCCCTCGGCTCTCCTCGTCCCCACCTGCCCCACTCCCTGGTGGTGCAGCCTCATGCCAGATGCCATGGGTCTTGGTCTGCCAGCCTGGGCAATGGGTGTGTCATCTCTGCCTCCAGCCCTGAGCTGCTCCTGGCCTCGGTGTCCCAAACTATGCTCACCCCAGCATGGTCTCTCCTCAATCCTTGCACCAAGGGCTTAAGGTTACCCCCTCCCCACCCAAACAGCGCAAATGAAAGGCCAACAACAACAAAATGCATGTCTTCATTGTTTGATTAATGGACTGGCTGGGAGGGCAGGCACTCAGCTTTGGTTAGTCAGAAACTCCCGTTAACTGTGTACAAAATATGAATGTTACAAAAATCACATAGAAAAATAGGGTTAGTGAAGCCGCAGCCCCTGCCCCACAGGCACGCACTTCTCTCCCCTCGGTTACGGATCACTACAGAAAGACTCCCAACTGGGGAATCAACAGTGCACCAAGGCACTGCCAGGAATGCAATGGACTCTGAGCTCAGCCCTGGAGAAGAGACCCCTCCCTGCCTTGTGGCCCAGCGGGCCTCAGGCTCCAGGAGCTCAACCATCAGCCTGGGGTGCAAATCCTCTTCTGGGAGGGCCTCAGGCCCTGCCCCTGGGGAGGGCGTGGCCATGGGAGCCCGTAACAGCATGGCGCACACAGCCTGGGTTTCGGTCAGGCAGAGGGGCCGTGGTGCTGTCCAGCCCAGGGCACGGCGTGGACTCAGAGGCGCTGGGCCACGTGAGCTGCTGGCGCTGCTGTCCCGGGCATGATCCCTAACTGGGGTAGCACAAGCAGCATCCCGTGGCCGCCGCCTCCACGCGGGGCTTGGCGCCCGGCCCCAGGAGCCCATCGGTGACAGAGTGCTCCGTGATGATGTCCTCCACGCGGGTGATGTAGAGCAGCGTCAGCAGCACCCCCAGGAACTGTGTGGAAGGGCAGGGCTGGCCAGAGCTGCTGGCCAGTTCCCAACCCCAGAACCCCCAGCAGCCAGGGCACTGGGTGACCTGCCAAACTCCAGTGCCCAGCACGTCCACACTGACCCTCCCAGGAAACCCCGGAGACCTCTGCACCCCATTAGCAAGGGCCTTCCACTCTGGGCTTCCCCCTCCACTCCACCTGTGTCCCACACTCTCGAGGGGCCCCGGGCATGGCACTAAGCCCTGCTGAGCCTCGCTTTCCTCCTCTGTGAACAGAGCACAGTAACTGCCCCTACCTTGCAGAGAGTCCATGGAAGGGCTTCGCAGCCCACGCGCTGGCCATTGCCCTCTGCTCCCAGCCCTCCCCGGGGAGGCCAGGCCCCGTTCCCAGAGCCGCCTCCCCTGGCTTCTCTGTGCCTCTCCTCCGGTCACCACACCACTCTTCCCTGAGCCCAGGGCCCACCCACCTGGGGGAGCAGGATGCCCAGCAGGAGGCCCGCCATGATGGTGTAGTTGTCCATGAACCAGATGAGCACGGCGTTGGTGCAGCCCCGCACGTAGATGACGTCCTGCACGCTGAGGCGCTGTGCAGGGAGAGCCCAGTCAGCTGCGGGCACTTGCTGCCCACGTGGCCACTCGCTCAAGGCCCAGGCTATCCCTTGACAGCTCAGGCCTCCGTTTCCCATGTGCCATGGGAGATGGGGGACCTAGACCACCCTAGGTGGGCAGCACTGGGGACCCAGATGTGCCCACATCTGGGAGAGCACAGGCTCAGGGTGCTCCCAGCTGCCTGTTTCTGGGATGGGTGCCAGGCACTGGTGCAGGCAAAAAACCTGCTCAAATGACCAGAACCAAAGCCCAGCTCAAGTACACAGGGAAGTGTTTTCTGCATGGTGTAAATCCACAGTGAATTTTCTAGAACTACTACTATGTAAACCAAGGAATGATTA